CGCAGGCCACGAAGTGAAGTGTCCGAACGTCATAGGGCGGGAAGCTGGGTGTGGGTGGTGGCGAAGAGTCGTGTGGATATTTGGTAGAGCTTGCACTGCCCCCCCACAAAGTGGGGGTATTGGCTGGCGTCGCATGAAAACCCTGGCACTGGTGAGAACACTGAGCGTTCGGGTAAAGTGATTGTTGTTGTTGTTGTTGTTGAATATTATTACTTCTAAAGAATAATTATTGTTGGGCCCCCTGGTGCACGCCCCCCCCGCCGCGCCTAGGCCGCAGCCACATTTTCATCATTTTCGTGAGGAAGCCTCAGGTAAAACGATGTGATCCAGATCCGGTTGTTTTGTTGTAATCCGTTTTCCCTTGCAAAAAACACTATAAAATGACATTTCTTGTTCTAATATAATCAAATTTCAAGAATCCCTTGCAAAAAATAAGGTAAAGTGGACATTCGCGCGCGCAAGACGAAATCCTTCCAAAACCTTAGTGTTCGGAGCGATTTTAACATAAAAACATCAAAAAACCAATGGTTTTTCAACAAAAAAATGTCAAAATCTCATCCCGCGCGCTCTTGCGGATTCGTAGGAAACCCAACACTTTTTAAACATTTCTGTCAAACGGGCTTTTGCGAGCAACTTTTTCGAACTTCTGCGACAACGGTTGCGCACCTGCCAGGGCCATCATCCCTGTCAAATAATACCATGCGGGACACATTCGTTTTTTCTTCGCGCGCGCACGCCGTCGTCGTCGGCCGCGGGGCCCTGAATAGTAGCCACGGTCGTCCGCATGCCACGAAGTGAAGTGTCCGAACGTCATAGGGCGGGAAGCTGGGTGTGGGTGGTGGCGAAGAGTCGTTTGGAAATTTGGTAGAGCTTGAACCGGCCCCCCCACAAAGTGGGGGTATTGCCCGCCTCCTATGAAAACCCTGGCACTGGTGAGAACGGTGTGTCCCCACGTGCTAGTAATTGTTGTTGTTGTTGTTGTTGTTGTTGTTGTTGTTGTTGTTGTTGTTGTTGTTTGTTGTCGTCGTCCCACCCGCAACCCGCCCCGCGACCCACCCGCGACCCACCCCGCGACACACCCGCGACCCACCCGCGACGCACCCGCGACCCACCCGCGACCCACCCCGCGACCCCACCCGCGACCCACCCCGCGACCCACCCCGCGACCCACCCGCGACACACCCCACGACCCACCCCGCGACCCACGCGCGACCCACCCGCGACCCACCCGCGACCCACCTCGCGACCCGCCCGCGGCCCACCCCGCGACCCATCCGCGACCCACCCGCGACCCACCCGCGACCCACCCGCGACCCACCCGCGACCCATCCCGCGACCCACCCGCGACCCACCTTCGACCCAAATCACGTTCACGGTGCAAACCAAGATTTTCGGCGCCTGCGGCGGGTCTTTTTTGCATTCCTGCCAGGTGGAGAGCCCGCGACCCACCCCGCGACCAACTCGCGACCAACCCGCGACCCAAACCACGTTCAGGGTACAAACCACATTTTTCGGCGCCTGCAACGGGCATCTTTTGCATTCGTTCTAGGTGGAGAAACCGCGGCCCACCCGCGACCACGTTCAGGGTACAAACCAAATTTTTCGGCGCCTGCGGCGGGCATCTTTTGCATTCGTTCCCGGTGGAGAACCCGCGGCCCACCCGCGACCCAAACCACGTTCAGTGTACGAACCAGTTGTTTCGGCGCCTGCAGCGGGCTGCTTTTGCAGGAGGACGAGGAGGGGGAGAAGGAGGAGGAGGAGGAGGAAGAAGAAGGGGACGACGACGACGACGACGTCGGCGACGACGACGAAAAGGAGGAGGGGGGAGGATCGGAAGGGGGAAGAGGAGGAGGACGACAGGGAGGACCATGACGACTATGGAAGGACGATGATGGAAGGACGAGGGGGGGAGAGGGAGGACGAGGAAGAAGAGGAGGAGGAGGAGGAGGAGGACGAGGTGGAGGAGGAGGACGACGATGACGATGAGGACGAGGACGAGGACGAGGAAGAGGAGGAGGAGGAGGAGGCGGAGGAGGAGGAGGAGGAGGAGGAGGAGGAGGAGGAGGAGAGCGCCATCGACAAAGAAAGTGGGGGCCACGAGGTCCGCCGGCTTGACGACGCCCGCGTCGCCCGCGCCCGCCCCCTCACTCTTATCCGCAATTGCGGGGTGCTACGTTACATTAAGGAGCGGTCAATGAGGGCGAAGCCCGTTTTGGCGCCGAAAGCGCCTGTCTGCACGAGGAAGGCTAGAGGAACAGCCCTGGAAGGAGCTAAGGAACATCGAGCCTCGTCAGAACACAAGCTGTTCCTTATTTCAGCGATCGGGCCGACCCGGACACCCGGGGCACAGCCGCTGGAAGGCAAACCGAGGCTGGAACGCCGCCGAAAACCGACGAGAACGTGTGAAAACCTCGAACCTCGAAACTTCGCCCCCCATCGTTGTCCCCGAGATGCCGTGGGCCCCTTGTGGAGGCCCTTCTTGGAGGGGGGGGCGTGGAGGGGGAGGGGAGGGATGAGGATGTGAAGCGGGAGGGGAGGGCGGGGAGGAGGAGGAGGAGGAGGCGGAGGAGGGCCACGATACAGGGGGGAGGAGGAGGAGGAGGAGGAGGAGGAGGAGGAGGAGGAGGAGGAGGAGGCGGAGGAGGAGGAGGAGGGGAAGGAGGAGGAGGAGGAGGAAGAGGAGGAGGATGGAGCAGGCTGCGCGGCGTGAGGCGGCGTGTCCCCGCGCCACGAAGCTGCACTCGGCATCGCGGAGCGCTCGCGGGAGCCAGCTGGCCCGCGCGCGTGCCCACTGGCGCGGCGGCGACGGGAGCCCCGACGGACCCGAAGGGCACGCTGCCCGGTCGCTGGTCTCGGAGGAGGAGGCCAGGACCGACCAGCATGCCACCAGACAAGGAAGACGGCGGCCCACGAAGGCCCCACCCACCCGAGGCGACAGGGCAGGCCAGGGGGCCCAGGCGGGCCCCGCCCCCCCCCCCCCCTCGCACTAGGGGGGCCAGGCAGCGTCTCCCGAAGTGCCCCCCAGGCCCGACAGACCAGCAGCTGTCTGAGCCGACCCAGCAAGCCCGCGCCTCTCGGAGCGCACCCCACTCGCATGGGCCCGCACTCAGCCTGGAGCCACAATGGCAGCGCCGAGTGCTCCTGTCACGGACTCGGGAATGCGCTCGAGGCTTTTCCAGTCCAGCTTCTTCGCGCGCGCCGCACTCGCGCGCCCGCCGAAACCGTTGTGCAAGGGGACCGCCTCCCACTGAATGGTCGCCTCCCCCTCCTTCATCTCGACGTCAATGATCGTGCCGATTAGGCCGATGGCTGCGTGGTGCTGCTGTTCCACGGGGAGGAACGCCTTGACGACGCGCACCCTGGTGCGCCACGATCGGGACCTCAGCCGCGCGGCGCTCCAGGCGCTTCGCGTACCTGCGCTGCCGCTGCACGGCGGTCGAGGCGCGGAACTCTCCGGGCGATGCTTGACCTCGGGGGGGCTGATGGTCGCGCCCCGCCCCCAACTCCACGTCCTTCTGGCCGAAGCCCCGATGGTGCTCCACGATGCTCGCGCTGCCCTCCGCCGCGCGGAGGTCGTCGTCGGCTCGGCGCTCGGCTGGCGCACCGCGCCCGCGCTGTCGAAGAGCTCGGCCTCTTGGAGGCCCCCGCCGCCGAGGCAGCCGCCCTGCCGGCCGCCTGGCACTCGCAGGAGCCCCCGAGCTGCCTTGGCGCCGCCTGCCAGAGCGCGTGCTCGATGCCCTCCGCCGAGCTGCAGGTGCCAGCGTCCGCCACCTGGGGGCCGCCGAAGCGGGGGCCACACCCCGCAGCACCGCGCAAGCATCCTCCTTCTCGTCCCCGCCCTGGGAGTTTCCGATGCCGCACTTCATCATGGTTGGGTTGGCGATGTCCTCTGGCTCGTCACGTTTGTCGGTGAGCCCCACCGCCGACATCTGCATCAGCCACTCGGAAACGACCTGCTTGGCGGCGGGCTCCGTCGCCGATTCCAGCATCACGTCGCGGGTCTCTTACGGGGGCTTCCTCTTGTGCGTCTCCACGTACGTTACATTGCCGCCGAAGCACCGGTCGCTGAGGCCCTGGATGTGGCCCTTGGCCGACAAGATCTGCATGGGCTTCGCGTCGTAGGCCCCGTGTCCGTGCACGCCCTCGACCGCTTGCGAGTCCGACGAGCCCTCCATGCCAAGCTCGTCGTCGGAGCTGGTGACGAAATGCTGTTCCCCGTACTCGGCCTGGCCGCTGTCGAACGTGTCGTCCGTGGAGAAGCCCACCATCTGCTGCTCGACCCCCTCCGGCACGAGCAGCTCTGCAGACGGCGCCGTGGTGACGGCCTTGCTCGTGAGCCAGTCCCGGAGCTTGACCACCACGGCCTTCGCCTCGCGGGGATGGCGCAGGAAAGCGCCAGCTGCGTCCAGCGACCTGCAGCTGCGCGCAAGATCCCCGTTCATGCGCTACTCTCGGGAACGATGATCGGCCAACCCTGCGGCCAGTGTCGAGCCGCCCAGCAGGACTACCAGCTCAGCCGCCGCGCCGAGCACCGCCTGCGCACGGGCGCCGAGCGCGGGGCGGGCAGGCGGCGACTCCGCCTCCTCTGCCGCATCCGCGCGCGCTGCTGGCGCCTTCTCTGGCACCGCCGTGGCGGCCGCCGAGCTTGCTGCCTGGAGCCGCAGCATGGGCTCGGCGGCCGCTGCCACCGTCGGCGCCGATGCCACGGTGACCCCGAGGCGGACGGAGGTCACGCTGCGCCCGCCTTGTCCCATCGGCACAGCCGCGCGCGCCCGAGCCCGACGCGGCCTGGCGCTCGCGGAGCGCCCTGTGCGGATCCAGCCTCTCGGCCAGACCCTGAGCCCAAATGGCTAGGGAGGAGGAGGAGGAGGAGGAGGAGGAGGAGGAGGAGGAGGAGGAGGAGGAGGAGGAGGGAGAAGAGGAGGAGAAGGAGGAAAAGGAGGAGGAGGAGGAGGAGAGAGGAGGGAGAAGAACTGGGCCACTCTTGGGGTCCCCGTCTCCACCAGGCCGGGGGTGAGCTGCATCGGCGCGGCCGCGCGGCGCGGCCGCCCCCCCCAGAGGCCCAGGCCATGCGCCGCCCGCCCGCTCTTGCCACGCCCATGCGGCTGCGCCCCGGCGCGCCCCCCCTCCCCCTGCGAGGCTAGCGGCGAAGTCGGCGAAGGCGACACCTGAGCGACGATCCAAGACCCCATTCCTTCCTTCACTTCCTTCCCTCCTTCCTCCCTCACTCCTCCCCCTCTGTCTCTCAGCATCTCATGCGCTCTCGCCCACACATCATGCGTGCTGTCATGCCTCACAGGGTGGTGATGCCAGCCAGACTGACCACAGAGCTGGGGGATACCGCCCATGCCTGCATCCCACCACACCCTACCCCTACCTCTTGCTCATCCATATTCATTTGAACGACAATCAATAACGGGTCTTACGCGAGATGGCATGCCGACCTTACACGCGGTGGCTTGCACGGGCCGGCAGCGCGGCACGCTGCGCTGGCAGCGAGGGCGCTCACGCGCGACCTTGCGCGGGCAGCTTGCGCACCGAGGTCGGCGAAGACGACCCCGTTGCCTTTTGCGTCGCCCACTTTGCTATACAAGCCAGGGGAGCCCATCGGCAGAGGTCAGAGACAGCGACAGGCGAAGAGACGACACGACAGGGGGGGGTCGAAGGCGAGGGGAGGCGGGAAGAGGGAGGGGGACGGGCGCGCGCGGGCGCGCCGCGCACCTGGGCCCTCGGAGGGCCCTCCAAAGCTCGATCTCACCCCAGCCCACCCGGGCCCAAGGCCCCACCGGCCAGCCCGCGCGGCGTGGAGGGCGGCCCGCAGTGCCCTGCGAGCGGACGGGTAGCGCGTCGCTCCGCTCCGCGGAGCGGGGGGCTGCGAATCACTGGGGATGCTGACGCTCGGGGGACCGAGCCGTGGATAGCGCGTCGCGCCACGCCGGGTGAGGAGGCGCTGGTCGGCGGCAAGCCTAGGGGCGAAGCGTGCTGCATTCCGATCCCTCCGCATTTATTCTCTTGCACAGCTGTGCTCTAGAGCTCGGACCTCCTTATTTTCGTTCGTCGTCGTTCGTTCGTCGTTCGTCCTCCCCCCCACGGCCACAAAGTAAACTCCTGGAGGAAGGAGGCGAAAGCCTCCTGTCTGTAGCGGCTCCTTGGTGCAAGAGCCAGGGCACGCGTGCCACTTGCTTTTGTTGAGCGAGATCGCACCCACGGGCAGGACGTGTAGCGCTAGCCCACGAGTTGTGCAGCGCACATCGGCGGCGCGCCCAGGGGGAAGCGAGAGGGGGCGGGCCTGCACCGGAGGCAGAGGCGGCCTCTCAGAAGGCGCGCGGACTTCTGAGGAGCCCCGACGCCTTCTGAGAAGGCCTGCTCCCTCCAGGAAGCAACTTCGGGCGCAACTCGTGGGAGCCTCCAGTGCAATCTTGCTGGCATGTTGCGAATCGACACTCACCGACGCTAATCGATGCTCAATCGACACTCATCGACGCTGAGTCGGCGTTTTCTCATCGATTACCAGACGCTAGCGCACGCTAGCGCATTCTGAACATTGAAATTCGAGGACGTACAAGGCTACCATGATTTGCTAACGAATGGACTCATGGGAGGTCTTCGTGAGAACGATGAAAGCCGATCAAACCCGATTAAGGGGCCACTGAAGCGCACCAGGCTGGATCAAGCCCAAGACGAAGCCCGATGGAGTGGGATCACACTGGACTCAGCGGGATTAGCGCCTGATAAAACCGTGCTGCGCCAGTCATCGACCAGGGATTCACTGGCGCCGATTCTGAGTTTTGAACTCCCAGGAGTTGCACCCTGAGATGCGGGCGACAGTATACTGCCTTCGAGTCTGCTCGCCGTGTCACGACGGCGGCCCCTGCGACACGCTGTGCCGTGCAAGCGGACAGTGCGTCGCACCGCTCCGCGGGGCGGGAGGCTGGGAACGGCTCGGGACTCGGGGATGGACAGAGCACCCTTTAGTAAAACATGGTTTAGTGAAAACGACCTCGGGCCCAAACCTGGAGGGCGCAAGCCCGGAAAATGACGGCCGCGGCGCCCTCTCGAGAATCGAAAACGGACAATTCACTAATCGACGTGTCAGGGTGGGGGTTCTGTCCGACCCCGAGGGACGGTGACGCCTGGGAACCGGGCCCCGACATCGCAACATGGAACTCCACAGCGCCGGGCAGCTCAGGAATGCGGCACGGGCCATCCTGCCGTATCGTGCGCCTGCAGAGCAACCACTTGTGGCGCCACCTCGACGGTGCAAGCCCAAATTGCCGCAAGGGGCGGAAGAGGGGCAGGATTGGGAGGGGAAAATTTGGTTTGGGAGACGAAGGAGGAAGAGGCGAAAGGGATGGAGGGTGGATAGTGACGAGTGTGATGATGGCCCTGATCGTGACCATGATGGGGAGGGCAGCGGTGATGGTGAGTGTGGCGCTGACGAGCGTGCGGGCGGCACCTGAAGGAACAGGAACACGAGGCCGCCTGGGACAAGCAGGAGGCAACATGCTACGACGCTGCGCCCTGACAACACCGCGCGACCCTGAACAGGTACACTCATGCCGACACAACCATAGAGGCCTCCTAGATGGGGTCGAAGTAGATGGGGTCGGAGGATCGCGCCGCATCGCCGATGCATCGGCGATGCGTCGGCGATGCATCGCCCATGCATCGGCGATGCACCGGCGATGCATCGTCGATGTCGGCGATGCATCGGCGACGTCTACGTGAAGCAAACCGCGCTGTACATCGAGCCGCATCGGCGATGCGGCGCGATTCTCCGACCCCATCTGCTCCGACTCCACCTAGGAGGCGTAGAAACCAGCCGCTTCTGTGCACAACGGAACGGGCACAACGGACCTCAAGCCCAAGGGCACAGCTGCGCAGCAGCACAAAACACAGCAGGCACGATTTCGAGGGGGAGACGACGACACACCCGCTCAAAATTTGTCCCCGCACCCCTCCTGGAGTCCATCTGGTGCGGTTATGTTACCCTGGATCCGTTTTCGCCACGGCCCCGGGGGCTCGAAGACGGCCCCTGGAGAGCGACGAAGGCAAACTGCCTGCCCAGGCCCAGGGCCCCAAACCTGCCCGCCCTGCCTGAGGGAAGTGGCGGCCAGGGGGCTGGAGTTAGGTCGGGCCTGTCCCCCTGCAGGGGGATTTTGGATGGAAAATAAATATTCCAAAAATATTCGAAAGATGCAGAAACATATTCAAAAATTAGTCTCCAAACTATTTTTGACTATTTTTGAATATTCCCCCTGTAGCCCTGAGGTTCCGTAGCGGTTATTTTAACTGCCAGACCGCTGGCGGTTAAAAATAACCGCCAGCGGTTTTTCCCTAGTTCAACATAAACTAATCATGCATACATATAAGAAAAACCTGACGTTTTTTTGTTCTAGCACATGCGTATCGCTTCTCGTGGGAGCCACGTTGGCCCCATGTAAGCTTAGAAGCAAAACATATGCGTGTATTGTGTGTGTGCGTGTGCGTGCGTCGACGCGTTACAAATCCGAATCCTGTTATTATTTTATAATTGTGCCTCGTTCTAGGTAATGCGTCGATAATAATATTGCGTCCTCTGAGCTGACAAGCCATCGGCCTGATCCATCGATTGGCTAGCGGAGTGTAGGGATATCTTCGGCCGCTCTCATCCATACCAGTGTTCCCCCTCCCGTTGGGCAAACATGGGGTCGCAAGCAAAGGAGGGCGATCAGAACGAGGAGGATAATAGATCAAGTAAGGGAGGGAAGGAGGCGTATGATGGCACCGATGATGCCGATGACGGCTAAGCAATACCGATGATCCTGATGATTATGAAGATGACGATAATGATGCGATGGATGATCCAGAGCCATATGTCGATCGAATGGGGCCAGGTGCCGAGCAGCCCTCTTCGGCGGACGCTCATCGGCCGAGCTTTCTCGAAAGCGTCCCAGAGCCTCGGGATGAGCGCCGAGACGCTGAGCGACGACTCGCAGCCGCCGACGCAGCTTGATCAGACTGTGGCCGCTGTCGGCGACGGTGCGGCCGTGGAGAAGGACGGTGACGTGCTGATGGGCTGCCAAGATGACAGCAAGTTCGGGCATGAGCTGTTGGACACAATGCTGCCCGATCGCCAACCCCAGTTTGGGGAGGCAGGGTACAGCGGGCCTCTCGGCGCCAAGGACGGCGACGTGGGCATCGGCGGCTCCGACCCGTGCCAGGCCAGGCCCGAGCGGGACGCCGACGGCGTCGAGGAGAACGTCGATGGCGCCGAGGACAGCGACGACGTGCCGCTGATGATGCCTTCCAACAAGGGCGTCGCTGCCCGCGTGACCGAGCCCGAGACGCATCGTGGAGATGAGGACGGCGCAGGTGGTGCGGCAAGCCAGGGCCCTGAAGAAGAAACGCTGCCCTACAACGTGCCGCAGACACCGATCTCGCAGAAGCAGCAGGCCTTGCTGGACCTGGCTGACATCTGCAAGAACATCAACGCGATGGCAACGACGCAGGACGAGACCAAGGTAGGAGACAAGCTCAAGGAGCTGTTCACCTCAAAGGCGCTGAAGACCGTGTTCGGCGAGAGGGAGGAGTCGGAGAAGAGCGCCTTCGAGGTGGACGGCATGTCCGACAAGGACAAGGCCAAGGCCGCCATGTGGAAGAAGGTGAAGGCCCTACGGATGTGTCAGAAGCGGGGGGGCAACCCACCGTAGTTCACACGTTTGGGGGGCAATCGTGATCTCGAGTACGCAGTCGTCGCCGACTGCAACACGTCCCGTCCTCCGCCGTTTGATGTTCGGACCATTGGTTGTCAATTCACGGCCACTCGCGTTGCATTGACCTCGCATTGACCTCGCATTGACCTCGCATTGACCTATAGCTTACCTTGTGAGGTATCGCCGACGCCCACCCACCCCTGCAACCCACCCACTCGCACATACCAAATATAAAACAACGGTCTGAGACATACAAGTCCATCGAAAGTTGTTATATACGTGTCAACATATCAACGGACATATACATGCACTTCCACAGAGAGAGAGAGAGAAAGCGAGAGAGAGAGAGAGAGCGAGAGAGAGAGAGAAAGAGGGAAAGAGAGAGAGAGAGAGAGAGAAAGAGAGAGAGAGAGAGAGAGAGTGGGGGGAGGGAGGGGGGACAGCTCC